ATACTATTTCCATTGGCAAAACATATTATTTACCTACTTAAATTAAGGGTTAATGCACTGAATCTAAGACACAAATCTAGATCGTTTTTGCAGCGTAAAGAAATAAAATAAGAAACCGTTTTTTTTAACCCAACATAATGAAATACATAATCAAATTGGTCCTCATAATTACTAGTTTGTCTTTATGCTTATGTCACTCTGCCAGTTTCTGATGGTCCTACTCGTTTTCTCATCATACTTTCAACCGTTTGCCAGTTTAAATCTTTAAAAATTTTTCACTATTATTGTGATTTTTTCAGTTTTCATTGTTGTCTGAGCAGTATAATTGATTACTTCTACCATAAAAAGGACAAAAACCTTCTTTATAAGAATCAATGAGTCGTTTGCAATGTTTGGACACTCCTGCAGAGGTTTTGAACTTGGCATTTGCGCTACTGTTGGTTTGGGTCTTTCTGACTGGGATGGGATTTTTTTGCAGCTTCAGCATAACTTATTCCGAGCTTTAATTTCACGATTTGCATTAATAATTGATTAACGTGCTTTTGCTGAACGGCAATCATCACACTCAGCTGTACTAAAGCAGAGAAGCCTCTAAAACCTGCAGGACAGCGGCCCTCGAGGAGCGACTTTGGTGATGCCTGCCCTTATTGGAGGCTCTACTAAATACTTTTGTCACCCTCCACACCTATCATTCACAGAAAGCCATTAAAAATGTCTTTGCTTCATTGCAGTCGGATTACAAACATCCCTGGTTCCCTAAACATCAGATACCAGGAAGCACAGCGTCTTTTTTATTCATCAGCACAACCATCTGTCTTTGTGATAGCGACTGAATCGCAGAATTGAAAGGTAACATTTTCAGGAGGAATTTGGCGGCTGATGGAAAAGTTTCCGCCTGCACATTAATGACCATCGAAGGTAGATTAATTCCAAGCACACAGGCTCTCCTATCAAAGCACAATTCATTTGTAATGCAATCAAAGAGTGCTACTAGATTCCCTCATGTTTAACGAGCAGACAGTCAGTGAAAAACATCCATCTCATTAAAACGTGGTCGAGCCCGTCGGAGTGGAGCCAAATGAAAAGTGACGGAGGATGTGAAATCTGAGAGCCGCCGCCGTCGCCGCTCCTGCAGCTGCTGTCTGAATCCAAAGACGCTGCGGCTGTTTTCACGCCGTGCAAATCATTCGTAGGATCTAAACAGAACTTTTATTCTGAAATTGAAATGTTTATTGTAAAACCCCTTCCTTTGCATTAATCTGTATATTTAACCGTTTCTTTTCCACACTTCTTCTTCCATTTTTGTTTTTAACTCCTTCTTCGTCATCTTCTCTCCTCTCTGTATCATTTCCTGCTCCAGCAGTGAAGCTCCTCCACTCTCCATCATCAGCATGCACCCCATGGGAGAATATTCCCTCAGTACCTAGAGGACCCCGGCGGTGGGTCTACTTGGAAAACAAAGAGCGACCAGATTGAGGAATTCTCTCCAAGGATAAGACGCATGTAGATCCCTTCTCCAAAGGACAAGGAACGCTGCCAACTCCCTTTGGTTCATATGCAAACAAGCCTGAATCAGGAGAGAAACAACTGACTGTTCGTGACATAGCATGCTAAGGTTGTGTTATCCTAGATCTCTATTCAGATGAATAACTGAACAGAGATCTGATTAAATTTGGGATATTACCTATTAATTAATCCGATTAACTGTAATTCCTCAATTTTTTACATAATTGCCAGTTAATACATTTTAACTGCAGTATACCAGAGCAGGTGATTTCAGGCTGAGGGGGATTCAACTCTTGGATGCAGAGGATCCTGTTTCCTACCTGAAAGATGCTGATTTCAGGACAGGAGATAAATTCAAACAGAAATGCATCTAAATGTATTCTTATTTTTTTATAAATCCAGGTTGGTGAAACAGGCAGACATTTTTCAGAGCCATTGGCTGCAAGAAGCTTCTTGGTTTAAAGTCAGAGCTGAGTCGTTTGAGTCTGGTGTTTATGGGTGAAACAATACACAGGATTAATTTAGTATTAAAGGAAAAGTCCGGTCAGCAAGAAATGATCAGCGGATCATTATTTATACATAAAACTAATATGTTCGCAGTGATTTAATGAATTTAGCATTAATCAGTAAAAAAAAAAAAAAAAAAGATTTCGTCACGATCACAGAGTCTGGTAACAGCCCTTTTTGCCCAAATATAGTAACTCCTCACTCCTGATATCTTAAGCCTAGCACCATTCTCCCCACTTTACAAGCTAAAATCAATGGGAAGTACTAGACACACCTAGCCTAGTAAACTAGCCCCACCCGCCAGCGGCCTAAATCATTTTTTCCTGCGAGTTGGTCTAGCCTCGATTAATGCCCCAGGCCCTAGAACTGGCAGGCCAATCACAACGCAGAGATGGGTTTAGAATGTACGCAAAGTGGGGGGGTTTTGAGGGTGTGACGCTGCACGACGCAAGAGAAAGCACAACAAGGAAGATGGCAACAACTATTGTTGTCGTTTGACTCCGCTTTGGAATCAGTATTGGAAGGATTAGACTTGGGGTTTTCGTTAACACGTGAGCAGGAAGAGGCTCTACGCTCATTCATTTTTTAAGAAGGACGAAGTTGCCGTTTTACCAACAGGCTATTTGTTTACACTCCCCCATCAGCTTCCTGTCACGCTTACTATGTCACAGTCAGTTGCTCTCATTGGTCAAAGCGTTGGCCAATAGGCACAGACATGGTTTGAAAAACAGGTTCATCGTTGGATCGCCAACTTGAAGAGGGAGGATTTGCTATCAAACTTCTGGCCAGAAACCCACATCATTCATCCCTTAATCTCTGCTTCACACAGTGCACTCTTCATCACCATCATGGATAATAGCACGTTGTGGCAAACACCAGATACAGCACTGGGACTTGATCAACAGCCGATACCGCACCGTGACGTCACAAACCAGTAGGTGGCAGTAGTGTTCTTTGACAAACATGGATGACTCCAGTAAAGCAGATTCAAATGATGTCAGGTTTCTGTTATGTTTTTCTTTTGAGTATATTCAGTCTTGCTTTACTCCTTGTTTTCTAATGTTAGTAGTTTTATTTTTATTTTGCTGTGTTCTTTGGTTTTTTACTGTCCTTGTCTGGGTTCTGTTATGTTTTCTTTTGAGTGTTTAGTTTTCTTTTCTCCATGTTTTGTAGTCCTAGTAATTTAACTTTGTGTTGTTATTTCCAGTCTTCCAGGTTTCTATTTGTTGCTCTCTGCTGCCCTCTTATGTTCTCCTTCTTCCCTAGCTCTTTCCCTCTTGTTCGGTTCACACCTGCTCTCAGTTTCCTCATTAGCCCTCTCTTTGTCTCAGTCTCCTTTTAAAGTCCTCTCTCTTCAGTTCCTCTTTGCTGGGTCCTCGTCAAACACTGCCTAACTTTGTCAAACTTCCTCCAACTTCGTCTTCCTCGTTGTGACAGTGATTCCCCTGATGTCTCCATGGTTTCTGGTTCGTTTTGACTAGTTTTTAAGTTTGATTCTTTTGGATTTTTGGACTCCTGGTTTCATGCTAGTTTAGACTTCGTTTTCATTATTGGATTTTTGGATAACCTGCCTTTGTTTTCAGTTTCCCTTTTTAATTAAATCTAAAGAAATTGACCTCTGCCTTCCTGCCTCTGCTTTTGGGTCAACACTCCATAACCAAATCCTGACAAATGAGATTACTCTCAATTAAAAAAACACTATGTAATAATTTCATACTTAAAGTACTTTCTGAACTTTGTATGCTGAATGTGACCGAACATTTTCTTTAATGAGTTATAACAAAAAAAATCTAATTTAAAATCTGAATGGTTACAGATGCTAAAAGAGCAACCAACCTAGAATAGTGATGAGGCCAAAACAGAAGAAAACATATAAATAGTTATAGTTTTAGCTTCACCAAATTACAAAAAAGAAAAAAAAAAGATTAAGCAAACTGAAAAATGATTTGATGAGCTGCAGCTCTAAGTGGAGATTTTACCAATCCTGCTGCTGGTCTTTGACTAGACTAACTCCCACGGTGTGGACCGGTGGGTGCGTGGGAGGTGCTGTTCGCCCCGTTATGATGGTTTCCACACTCGGGTGATTTCAGTCCCAGCAGAAGGTGAATTTTTTGACAAGTCAACAGACACACAAACAAAAACAAACAACCGCGTCTCGGTATTAACGCCTCTGCGGATACAACGGTTATAGGAAGTGGCAGCTCTCACCGCAGAGAGGCCCTGAACGTGAGCTGCTGTGTTAAAAACCGCTGCTTTGCTTCTTCCAACCTGGTTTCTGTTTGGCTTTTCTTTAGAGGATTGAATTAACCAAAGGAGGGATTTATTTACGAAGAGCGCACCCATGTTTCCTTTTTAGCACGCATAAAAGACAGGTCGTCGTTATCCAAACGACAAAAGAGCCGATCGCTGATCGATGCGGGCGGTCGGAGAAGTGAGCACCAGGCACCTAAAGCGAACCCTATCGCCCCCCCTTCCCCCTTTTTTCAGCTATGTACAGGCTACAACACATTGATTTCTAATGTATCAGCTTATGACAGCTCTTCAATAATGCTGCAGGCAGCCCGAGGAGAGGGGGTGGAAGTGCTGGTGGGGTTTGCACACACATCTTTGAGGCTGCAGACCTGACAGGGAAGAGCTGGCATTACGGAGGAGGGCTTGTTGTTGTCCTCCTGACTACTGTCACTGCGAGTCAGAGAGCTGGGAAACAAACTCAGGCCGGTCACAGTGTGTAGGTGTGTGTCTGTGTGTTTGCCCAGCTGACTCCTGAGCCCGTTTCCTCCTGAACAATCCCTGCAGAGGTGGATCGGCTGCAGTAATGAGGGGAACGCTGCCTCAATGGATTCTTCCTCTTAACAAGCCCCAGAACTGTTTTTTTTTTCAATATTTCCTCCACTGCAAGGATTTACCTAACCTTATTTATCATGTTAGTTATCATCTCTGGTAGCCTTTAAATAATGCAGCCGAGGACTGTGAGAGTTGTGGCTCACCTGCAGGAGGCAGCGGTCCTTGAAGACATAGCCGATGAGCTTGTCCAGGTGCATCAGGCACTGGTGGTATCGGATGTGATGGGTGAGAACCGGGAGCATCATGGCGTGCTGTTGGACGACACAGAATTGGGGAGAAAAAAAAAAAAAAAAGGTGAGATCATGTCTGGTGTGAAAAGAAGAATGAAGGGAAGCGAGCAGGGGGAGAAAATCAATCAGCCGGCCATTATTTATTAAGAGGGGCTCTGCAACAGAGAGATGAAATAATCAAAAAGCCAATTGCTGGAGTGTGAGCGGGAATGACAAGAGGAACGGGGAGGGAAATTCACATTTGGACAGGACAGCGGTGGAAATCGAAGCCCTCTCTGACAGCCTGAAGCGCTTAGCTTTGAGCAAACACTGACAGCCCTTCCTGACCCTCACATATGAAGGCGAAAAGTTTCAACAAAGTGGAGGGAAAGTAGCCAAGGTGGGGGGTTTGCGGAGAGGAGAGGAACGATCTTATGGAATCATTACCGGGAGGCTCATCGAGTGTACACACATTAACCCCAGCACCGCCGCACAGGAGGCGAGGGAGCGGCTCGCTTTAATTAGTGCTGCTGGTGGGGGAGGGGGGCCTGAGCCATGTGAGGACCAGCGGTATTACCACACAGCCTTAGGGCCATCATGGGGGCCACGGTGACACGGTCCCAAGGCCTCGTTAAGCAGCCAATTAAACAACTTCGGGCAGCTCCTGGCCTGTTCTGATGACTGACTGACGACACTGGGGATATATGTGTGTGTGTGTGTGTGTGTGTGAGAAAGATAAGGTGGTGAAGGCTTGTTAGAGATGACACTCCAGTAATTAACAAGCTCACCAATCATGTTGGGATGTTCTGGACACCACCAGCACCAACACACCTGTGGCTTAAAGACTGAAAACATCCTTTCATGGCTACATTTCATTTTTCTTTCCTTTTTAAAAGAGAGTCCAGGTTTGAATCACAAGCGGCTTCATTTTGGCCAAGGTTGGTTGCACAAACAAGGAATTTTCACTTTGGCTTCACAGAGCGCCGACATCAAGGATAAATGTTTAAACTTCAGTGGAACCAAAGGATAAAAGGAGCATTACGTACATGTATAGATACCACTGATGAAACTCACTTTTCAGAGGCTTTGAAATTTATTTTTAGGTCGGAAAAAATATGAAGAAAAAAAAAATCTGCAAAGGGAGGAAGGACAAGGTTCCTCTATGTGATGTCGAACAGACCTCCAGACATTTTATCAAAGCAGTTATTTGTCATTTATATCCTTTCTGCTCCCATTTGTTCACAAAAAAGAAAATAAACTTTAGTAAACATGAACACACAAACATATATTTGTTCATTTAATTTACCAGCACTATGGTTTCGATGGATGAGGAGTCGGTGTGCCATAATGGCCCCTGATCTACAGTACAACATAACAGATCTAACTTCAACTCCCGGCTTTATTTATATTATGGAAAGGCTGACTTTTTCCATCAGATTTGAATCTGGAAAATTAAAAAATTATTGGGAAAATTGGCGAGGTTTTATTTCACCATTGAGATCAGACTTTGTTAATAGTGTGGGATTGGGTACCCTTTTAGAGTCACAGACTGTAAATTGTTTGCTTATAGTTCAATACATGTATAGAATAAATGCGCGGATTCTGTTGGATGTTGTGTTTGGAAAGAAGAAAAAAAAAATGTAAAATCGGTATGTATACTTGTACGGGAAAAAATATTTTCAATAAAAAGTGCAAATATAAAAAAAAAAAAAGCCAAGCTCCAGACGTAAATAACATGTAAACATATATATATAGACCTGTAAAAAGCATATATAGCAGGCCTTGACAGAGACTGTCAGACTTAGATCTAACAGAAATAGATCAATTAGATCAGCTAACAAGCTTGATCCTGACCTGTCGCAACCTTTTCATCATGTCCAACCCCCACCTCACAGTGTTATTCATGTCTCATCCCTTGTTACCGGGACGACAGCCCAAATGCTGATAATCAATAGACAGAAGAGTCCAGGTATAAACACACAGTATAAGCAGGTCAAACTAACCATTCCTGATGTGTGGATAAACTGGGTCGATTGTTCAACCAGCAGGAAACAACATCTAAAGGGGCCCACTTAGTTAATGTTATGTTGATGTTTACATGTTGCCTTCACTTCAATTCAATTAAATTCTGTTTATTTATAAAGCACCAATTCACAACACAGGCCATCTAGAGGCACTTTATAGTTCTACCAGATCATACAGTCAGATTGATTCAAAGTTTTCTATCTAAGGAAAACCAGTTGATTCCATCAACTCATTGAAGCGAAGGCAATCCCTCATGTTAAGGAATGCAAAGGATGAGCTTCACAGATACGCCTTTAAATGTGTCCTTTTGATGCGCATTATAACCTTATAAGTCTTGATATATTGTAATCTTCACATAAACTACATTTTCAATAAAAAATATATCTGCGGCTTGGTTTAAAAGTTGTTCAAATCATGATTAGCATTACCACAAAGCAGCATCAAATTTCAAGCATTTGTTCAAATTCAAATCAAACCTTTAAAGGGTCTTTTTGTGATGCAAAGTTTTTTAGCTTTTAATAATGTCATTATGCAAGTCCTTCATTAAAAACAGGCACAATGTGTTTTAAGCTTGATTGATGTAAGTCTGGATAATCCTTAGGAACATCCGGATACAACTTTTTCATTTCCGAAACAATACCTATAATGAACAGATAAAATATTAGCACTAATTGTACCAGCTTTCATTACTTATTTTATACTGTTTAATGTTAGAAAAATCAAAAGACGACAACAAAAAGGTATGAAAACTACCGACCCATGTAAAATTAAACAATGGGTTACAGAAACTTTAAAGAGAGTGTTTCTAACAGCGAGACGATATGGGACATTTTAGATGCTGACTGATAAAATCCGTTTTTTGGCTAATATCCCACCTAAAAATTAGCTTATGTGTGCTTTTAGTAGAAATTATCACGTGAGGTGACGATGTGAAATGGATGGCACCCACATGGGAAAAGGCAGCTTCATTGCTAAGACAAGTGTCCTTCTTCAAAGAAAATATTAATTCAATCTAAAAAACTCACACCAAGAGAAAAGACAATTAGGAGAAATTCATTGATACAATTACTTTGTCTTTGGCGCGCAGACCTCTGCAGGAAAAATATCACTTAATTTTGATAGATATGCCTGAACAGGAGCAAAGAATAGGGCTGTTTGCCTCCCAGGCCAGAAAATGGAGGTGGAGTGGATATAGATGAAGTTGGTCAGTCTGTAGACTGCTGTTTGGCGAGACGGTCTGCTGAGCTTTATGGATTGTGTGAGTTGATACTAGAGCTTCACTCAGGGAACTGGAAAATGTAAGTCCAGTTTGGATAATACAGGTTGAGAGAACCTGTCCATGATGAGCAAGCATGAAGCGACAGTGGAGAGGAAAAACTCCCCGTTGGGAAGAAACCTCTGGCAGAATCGGGCTCAACATGGCGGTCTTCTGCCGGAAAGGTTGAAATGAGACACGGAACGCAGTAAGAGTCCGGGAAAGAAACCCTGATGAAGCTTTAGCTATGATAGTGGAGGAGGGGCTGGAGGTGGGTTGAAACGGGGTCATCTGAATAAAGTCACAGCGCATCCGCCGCCCGCGCACAGGAGCAGACAAGTTGCGTATTGGAGGCCTCTTAAAATGAACTTCGGATGCCGATTGGCTTACATGGAGGTGTGGTTCAAAGCTGATTGGCTGTGTCGCAGGTGGATGTAGGAGAGCAATGAGTTTGTTCAACTGAGCTTCCGTCTAGGCTCCATATAACAAATATCTCACTTAGGGCAAAAGGTTATATTAAATTATATACAGTGCCTTAAGAATATATTTTTCCTTCCTTAAAATTTTTTAACTTTTGCCACATTTCAGGATTCAAACATAAAGATTTAAAATTGTAATTCTTAGTGGAGAATCAAGTGTTAGAACGGCCTGGTCAAAGTCCAGACATGAAACCAATTTACTACTGTTCACCAACGCTCCCAATCCAACCTCACTGAGGTCCAGTTTTAAAAAAAGAAGTATTAGAGTTAGATTAGGATGTATGATTTGCTCATTATCAATCGTTCTGCTATACTTGATTGGAATAAATTCTGTTAAGCCTTAAAATCCTTTTTCCTTACTGAATTACATGGAGATTACTCCCTATTTGAATAAGAACCAGACAAAACAGAAGAATGGTCTCTCAATGTGCAAAACTGATAGAGACATACCCCAATCGACTTGCAGCTGTAATCGCAACATAAGCTGCTGTTATAAAATATTAACTCAAGGGGCTGAATAATTTTTGCACAGCAATTCTTTCATTTGTTTTTATTTATTCAAACATGTTAAATGTCCAGTAAATTTAATTCCACTTCATGATTGCGTCCAACTTGATGATTCTTTTTATTTGATTTATCTGATTTTATGTTTGAGACTGAAGAGACTTGAAATGTGGCAAAAGGTCAAAAGGGTCAAATACTTTCCCAAGGCTCTGCATATCCCGACAGATAACCATGGGAGGCCTAAATAAAGCATCCTTTAAATGTGGAACTTGATTTTCCTTCCGTTTCTCAACAGAGAACCTGTATTATTGGGCCATATTGACGGACCACCCTACTCCACCACTTCTTTCAGCTTCACCCCTTATGTTCAATGACTCAAGTCAGGATAATAAAACACTATAAACAATAAAAACTATATTGTCGTAATTCATTAGAATATTTTGATTCTTTCCTGATTATGTAATGTGTTTTTTTTTAGTGCATCAGTACCTCCTGCTGTAAACACTCCATTGCAGGATGATCAAACCAGTGTATTTCACAGCTGGGAAGCTGTTACCACTAACTGGAAACATAAAGAAAAGATTACTCTGTTTTAATGGTAGGGGGTATTAAAAGTTTTATTTTAAACTGCGTAAATATCTGTTTTTACTATATTTCTAATCGACAGATTTGTCTAACGATCAATTAACAGGATTTTAAGGGGTTTTTTTTATATTAAAAATTAGATTTTTAAATATTGTTTTTGCTCAGAAGCTCATATCTTCATTTCCATATAAGAT